GCCCGAATAATTGTGTTGAGGTGCTGTTGTATGAGCTCCACCATTATAGTGCCTCATCACCAAACTGCTGAGCTCGTCGTGTATGTCCGTTCGCCTGGCCTTTCTTCAACCTAGACTTTGCCTTCCCTCCTCCCAGTGGAGTAATGAAATTTTGGATCGTGACTGAACATGCCAAAGAAATTGTGACATTTCTACTGATTAATAATAATATTATTATTACCCTTGGCTATGTACAGTACATGGGTCTGCATACAGTGCTTCTTGTAAGATTATTGAAAGAAAACATTTACAGAGGGATGAATAATCCTCTTAATATTCTGCAGTCATACATGCATGTGCACATAAATACCTACACACACGTAGGCACATGGCGAGTACTCCACACGTCTCTTCTTTTCTTAATCAGTTTATGATGAGCTAAATAAAATTTGCTGACCATAATATCAATAAAAGGAAACACTGTAGTACACTTTTGGATTTATTAAAAATAAAAATATTTAACTATCTTGATAATAATATTAGATAGATAGGTCTACCTGCTCAGGTAAGCTGTTATCATTGTTCGTCGACTGTACAGTAAGTTGTCTCAGATTTGTGTGTGTGTTTTTCTTAAATGTCTTAAAACTGTGATCAGTGAGACACCACAGCTGGTCTACGCTCGCTCCTACTTTACCCTAGTTCTACACTTTAGTACATAAAGACAGTACATGTTCTCTTCGCAGAGAGTGAGTGAAAAATGGCAATTCATAAGCGTCTAATAGTAAACCAAACAATATTTAATTGCGTACATCATGTCACCACGACACCGCCAATACGGTTGATTCCAGCACATGCACATTCAATACTCATATACATATTAGAGAGAGATATCCCCCGCCAGCAGGTAAACGTATTATCGTGACATTCTCCACTCCAGCTCTTCCGGTCACAGGTCTCTTTATTATGCAACACACAAATATCTCCGTGAATTTAAATTACTGCAAATAGGAAAAAAGCATAAACAATAAATATGGATCAATAACAAAGATAGAGAGCGTCAAGAAGAATTGATCTCCGTTAAAAAAAATGTAAACAAATTATTACACTTCATTATTATATATGTTAGAGACAGGTGGCAGTGTGGCCCTCTCACCCAAGGCTACCTAGAAGAGAAGGTCTGGGTGGGGGTTTGATGACGTCACTAGTGGAGGCTGCGACTTCATTCGCTTGCTCGCTCTCTCTTTACTTACCTTCTGCCTTTACTTCATAATAGCTTTATTACCTTTCTTATACCACTACTTTATTACCTTTCTTCTACCACTACTTTATTACCTTCCTTCTACCACTACTTTATTACCTTTCTTCTACCACTACTTTATTACCTTTCTTCTACCACTACTTTATTACCTTTCTTCTACCACTACTTTATTACCTTTCTTCTACCACTACTTTATTACCTTGCTTCTACCACTACTTTATTACCTTCCTTCTACCACTACTTTATTACGTTTCTTCTACCACTACTTTATTACCTTTCTCCTACCGCTTCTTTATTACCTTTCTTCTACCACTTCTTTATTACCTTTCTTCTACCACTACTTTATTACCTTTCTTATACCACTACTTTATTACCTTGCTTCTACCACTACTTTATTACCTTTCTTCTACCACTACTTTTTTACCTTTCTCCTACCGCTTCTTTATTACCTTTCTTCAATAAAAAAATTTAATCTAGGCTATTTGATTCCATTACGTAACCCCATTTTATTAGTCTTCCTTTCAACCCTTTCTTTACATTTTTTTTTTACTGCTGCGCTGACCACTTTTTATACTTAGAAATGGGGTTGATTAAACAATTTGATTATGATTTAAAAGTTTTTGATTATGATTTAATTATTGGTATTCTTTTTTATTATGATTTGATTATTATTACATAGTTTAAAATTTTTTTATTTTTTTTATTATGATTTTATTATGACCACAGATTTTGTAAATGTTAATTATTATTTGATTTTTCTTTGGCATTTGATTACAATTATCATATTTCATTTTCATTACGGTCCTTTATATTGGTGAAAATTTCACTAGGTATAGTAGAGTAGTAAGCCATAACTATTAAATTACTTTTTTTAAAGCTGCACCAATGAGATTCTTCTATTGTTTTCATTTAGTATAGCTTCTCTTTTAATCAATAAAATTTTTCATTCATGTTCAGGAAATTGAATTCATAAATCAATCTGAGTCATATTTACTTAAACTATGGTTTGTATAATATGGACACGAATTAGTACCTTAAGCTGTGTATTCTTATATTACTCTATTAATTATGTATAGTAAAGTATTACAGAACATGTATTAATCCTATGTAATGTTTCCATTTATTATGCACCATGTTATGTATATGTATTATCATATTTACATTTTATGTATTCAGCTTGTGGACGCTGGCATCTGTACATGCCAGCGTGGAGTGTGATACAGGGAGTTGAGATCGCTAGTCCTTATGGCGTGGAAACCACTGTATATTTGTTCCTCTGTATTTGTCTCCCTTACGAGAATAAGAACATATTTTCAAGATAACAAATGTTTGCGTATTCCCTCAGTAGTGTAGAACATTTTCGGGGTATCAAAGACAGACATAGATGGTTTATGGCTGCAACTTTTTTCATATATTGTTGAAGGAATTTTATTGACCAAATATAACACAGTAGTCTACTTTCTGATTCATGATCATACATACAATCAACACTGTATTAGCTATAAAGAAAACGTCAATGTATTCTGTAAATAATTCATATTCACATTCTTATTACCATTATAATTACCAAAACTGTTAATGCCTAGTACAGTCAATCAAGTTATTTCTGCTTCATTGAATCATTTCCTTTATGTAGAAGTTTATTTAGTAATATCATGTTTATAACATTATTTTCATAATTTGATTTTGCAATTGAGGTAATGCAAATCAAATACTTAAATCAACCTCTGGTCTCATTTACATAGTCAAACAGACTGCATGTAAGTGCAACACCTTTCCTGACAGTACATGCCTACCTACATGAGCATTTGGGAAAATGATAGCAGCCCCTTTAAGGGTGATTATAGTACATATACTGCAGCAACTAATATTAAGTAGAATTTATATTAACTTCAGTACAAATGGGGAACCATTAAAATTAACATAGACTACTACAGGGTACTACATAATACTACTCCATCTTTGAACACAACATAACATAATGATGTTCATCTGTGATTCTTGAGGGGTTAATTGGCTAGGACATGTAAAAGTATTTAGGGTTTTTAGTTGCGAAAGCCCAATTGTCTTTTCTGAATTAATTAAGAAAATATATTATATACAGTTCCAAGTGTATATAACCGTAGCTTATTCACTGTAGCTATGAGTGTTAAATGAGGACGGAGGCTATATTAAACAGCTCTTCTAAAATACGTCCTGCTTGTGTGAGAGGTTGAGTGAGAGTGCCTGGTGTAGCCGGCTTCTGTGACCTGACCTAGCAGTTTAGGGCCGCGCCTCAAGGAACTTACCCATCACGTGATATGACCATGTCACCTCATAGCCAGTGGACAGTTACCGGGGGTGATATGATTATATAAACTAAATGCACAGCCCGATAAATATATAAATATATATATATATATATATATATATATATATATATAAACTAAGGGGCTGATACAACTTATTCAAATATACTTCTCAGGTCATAAGATGGGAATGTAGCAAGATCCGCTTTGTTCTCGAGCAAAGATATGAACTGTGCCCATACCTGTGGTAAAGGAGCCGTACCATGACTATGACATTGCGAATTGTTCTCTTGATCTTTTGAATTCGCTTTACTCTTCTTTGGCTAGTAATGGAACTACAGCCAAGATACCTGTCAATGATGACGTTAATTTATTCCGTTAACTGGAGATGCCAGAAGGTCAGAGAGTATATAATTTTCTCATTTAGCTGCTACACAAAGGCAGATTTTGAAAGTTGATAATATTGAGGTTTCATCATAACTAAAGATATAAGAGCACATCTGTCTATCTCAATTTCCAATAGCATCTTTATTGCACTGAATTTTCACAAGAAGTAGATGTATTCTCTATCCTAATTAAAGAAGGTCATTCACGTGATTTTTTGAGAATCTAGACCAAAGTGACTGTACATTATCGTGTGAAATGGTTTGTGTTCTGCTAAAAGAAATCTATAAAAGGGTGATGTCAGCGGGCATTTCCCGTTGTGTCAATGTTAAATCAGCGATGAAACTACGATGGGAATTTCTTTCACCATTAAAATTATATGGAGTGCCAGCTGAAATGTTTGTTTTATAAAGCCTACAGAAAAATTTGCATTTTAATATAATGCAAAAAGTGATGATATGGTTGATCATATTGGTAGTCTAATCATCTTTTTTGACACCACAGAGTCACCTGTATACTAATTCATTTATATGAATGGCCCTTACTTGAGTCATTCCGGACATACAGTAGGCGTCAGGTCTGTGTTGTTCTTGTACTGTCATAAATTTAGGTGCTTTATCTGTCAGGGTCTGAAAGCACCATACACTATCTTGGTTTCTTTTTCAGTTAATCCTGAGTTTTTATTTAGTTAGTTTCAATTTAAGGGAGAAAGTGCGATCAAACTACAGGTTTAACATATATTTAAAACTCAGTAATTGTACATAACAATTTAATCTTTCCATTGCTTACCTTGAAGTAGTTATTGGGGTTTAAATTACAGGGGATTGTACAATATCCCTGTTTTATTATTCATTATAATTCACATGAAAGTTTGATTCAAGTATCCCTTGATCCCACTGGCAGGTAAGGTTACTAACTTCAAGTATGAAATTGCAGAAGATAATGTTGAATATCTGTCATTTCTATAGAAAATACTGGATCTTAGTTCTTAATTTTTATAACGCTTAGGATCCCAAAGTCACTTAAAAAAATGCAGATTAAATGAATAGTTCCTAAAACATATAAGTAACTTCTTTTTTTCATACTCACAGCAGGATGCAGTTGACAGATTTGAAGATGGCATTCATCATGTTTCTCACAAAACCTGTGATGTTCCTACTGGCAGTTACATTCTTATGTCGAGGTGAGGAGCAATATCGCTGTGAACTACAGTATACAGTACTACAGTATATTATGTCTAGTGTTGATTTCTAGGCACAAGGTTGATAAACATTCATTCAACTTCCTTTCCATAAGTGTGTCATTACTAGATGAAGGATAATGTCATGGGTCTCAGGGTACACTGACAAGCACTTATTAATGTTTAGAGTGACATTCACTTTTGCATGAGTGAAGATACGAGTCACGAGTAAGCTGGCGCCATATGTTTGTTTATATATGTTTTCAGAACATGTTCTCTTTAAGGGCTCACTGTACTTTAACTTATAGTTGACCTGGACTTAAGGATCCCAGACATAATATATAGTCTTGGCTCGCATTAGGCTGGGATACAGACCTGTCCAGTAAGTCACTGAGGTGTAGGATGTCCCATAATTCTCTTCAAATACTGTAGCTGCTTCATGTCTAACCTCTTCCTCATTGTCAAAGGGAGTCACTTATCAGAATGTCACAAACAGTCAGCCAGCCAACCCACAGAATTATGCTGAAATTTTGGTTCAATGGCATCTCTTTGTTACAAGCAAACCAACTAGCCAGGTATCATGGGTGAAGTCAGTGAATCAACTGCAGGGTGTATGTCAATTTGATAGACCACACTGAATGGTAGAAATGACATCTTCAAAATAGCCGCCATGCCAACCCTCTAAAATTCATCGCATCTTTGATTTGCTACCATTTGTGCAAAATTTTGTTTTGCGTGGCAAGGATTAAGAAGATCACAATAAAAGTGTAATCTGACCATGTATTAAATCACAAAAAATAGAAATAAAGCCAACTGCCCATTCAGACCACACTTATACATCGGTAAACAGATGAATGTAGTTAAACATACATATAAAAATTCAGTAAGTTATGTTCCCGGTCGCCCTTTTAGTACTTTTTAGTACAACCCCGAAAGGTGGATAGTCCACCTGCTTTCAATCACTATCTCTCACTTCCTAACTTGACCTTCCTCCTACACCTCTTGCATTCTTCAGAACCTATGGCTCTTTTCTTTACATATCTATTACTAATAGTACAATCTGACCATGTATTAATCACCAAGAGCATCAAATAAAGTCAACTGGCTCATTCAGACCACATGTGTATGGGAATGAATGTGTGCTACTGTATAACATACGTTTACAAATTCAATCGCTCATGTTCCCAGTCACGTTATTATACTCTTACGATATTTCTAGTATCTAAGCTGTCATTACTTGTGATATCAATAATTTCCGGCGGGATTGCAGCAACTCACAGCATCGCACTCGCATGCTGGAATACATATCTGTTGAGACTTGAAGCCTTTGCAGGTGGCAGTATTCCATTTCTTCTTGCAGCCAAAAGCTACTACCTCTGCACACACAGGTGAAGGTGGCAGGCAGTGTCATCCACATGACATAGAGCCCATTTCCAATTTTCTTCCATAGCGGTCCAGCGCTTCTACGGCTGTTACAGTTGTCAGCCCCGAACCACAATGTTGCCTGGTAATTTGCTCTTGCGAAATATAACACGAGAGCATCCTTTCGTGGGTGAAAGCTTTTCCATCTCCTTTTTCCCTTTCCGGAATAAGTCGAGTCTTGTGTTATTAACACCAGCCTTGCAGTCAGGAGCAGAGTAAGGATGGCAGTCTGAATTCTTCCACATCCTCCAGTGAGCCATCACGTCCAACACCATTCATGAGGTGAGGCTGTTCACTGAATATCTTTCAACAAATCTTCTTGCCAAACCCAGCGAAGGAGGATCTTGAATCTGATCCAGTCAGCGCATGGAAATCCAACAAGTTATCGTTTAAAGTATTTGACAAATTCTTAGCTATCTCATGCACTGAAGAGCAACACTGATCATGGGCAGTTCAACTGATCATCCACACATTAGTCTCTCAAAAGAAGTGGAGAAGGGAGGAGGAAGACGTCTAGATCTCTGAAAAGTACTATTATGTACTTTGCATGGAGAATGATGCGTGTATCCGCTTCTTCATGATCACATGACAGACTGGCCAATATATCTCTCACTGTAGACGAAGTTTCTTCGGGAGAGAAAAAGCCTCCACCGACAACCAATTCACACCAAGGTAAAGGAGCCTTACCATGACTATGTAAATGGGTGAAAGAATTGTTACGAGTGTCAGAATAAAGAACCAATGAATAGATTACTGGTCGGCATATGAATTTCGAATGATTAGTTGTGTGGACACCGAAACAGTTAAAACTTAGATATTATATGTTATACTTTAAATGTAGGAACATTAGTTTCTATGTGTTAGGTAAAACAAAGTAATGTTTATTGTATTAGTCTCGAATACTAATGAATGAGCGAGTATTCGATATTTATTTGCGGATTCGCAACTTGAACGTCTATTGTTTATACGTCATTTCCGCCCACCTCTGCTCGCTTAGTTTTACCCCTCAGAGCCGGGTGGCTTTAGTATTGGGCTGGCAGTCATAAGATAAGTATCTCCACTCCTATTGTATATGGGTAGTCATATTTTAGAATTCCACGGTAAAATAACTTGTTTATGAGTTACGTGTGTTGGATAACCACGTTGTCCACGGTAGTTTGTTAATTTAAATATGTGTGTAGTGATTACTTTTATGAATTTTATTTTGTCTTGGTTTTTTGTACATAACTGATATATTTATTTATTGTTTTTTAATATTTATAATTAAATGTACTTCATGGTTTTCAATATACCCCATAGTAATGAGGTGATGATTTTGGTAGGATCTTTTACTTGGACCTTTGATACAAAGATAACCATAATGATAGTTAACTCAACTTTAAAAATAATATTAAAAATAATACAAAGTGAATTTGAATTGCATTGTTGCAACCTAAGAGCGCAAGGTCGTAACAAATGGAAGCGTTCTCTCAGTTGAGCGAGTTTTCACACATTGGATCAATTTGATAATTCCCGTGACTTCACTATCCGTAGATATATCTGAGTCACTTCAGTTGCTAAGTTATGTGGTCAAGGAAATCTATGGTCTCTCAAATTCATTAATTCCAGTACTTTCACTATAAACTTAAATGACACCAAACTTTTTGACTTGTTCAACAAGCTTTTTGACAATTGCCTCATCACGGTTTACTTGAGAAGGAAAACCATCTTTCCGAGTGGATAGTGAGTGATTCATCATCCCTAAGGCCGAGCAGTTTTCTGTGCCTTCTGATGTGACCGATCTCTCATCCCATGTGGCACCAAACCTATCACGTGTTGTGGCTGTTCTTGTATTTCAATGACATTGTTGACCATAACACGTTTAGCACAATAGACAATGACATACTTTAGATTTAGCACAAATATGAAGTTTTTGTATTTATTTAATAATAATAATAATAATAATAATAATAATAATAATAATAATAATAATAATAATAATAATAATAGTAGTAGAAGTAATAATAAGATTAGTAGTAGTAGTAATAATAATAATCATAATCATAATAATAAAAATAATAGTAGTAGTAATAATAATAATAGTAGTAATAATAATAATAGTAGTTGTAATAATAATAGTAGCAGTAATAATAATAATAATAATAGTAATAACAATAATAGTAGTAATAATAATAATAGTAATAATAATAAGAGTAGCAATAATAATAGTAGCAATAATAATAATAGTAGTAATAATAATAATAGTAGTAGTAATAATAGTTTTTTTTAGTTTAACAAATTTATTGGCTGAGCTTGTAGTACAGTTTGCCTATTCTGAGTAATTCAGTCAGGTCTTGACACTGAGGGTGGTATCACTTTTCATGCCACGCAGGACAGAGGTTCATACACAAAGAAATACATCAAATTCATTAACAGCTATAAATGTATAGAGGTCAGATTCATATGAGTAATGTCACTGTTCACTGCCATGCAGGACAGAGGTTCGTACACAAAGAGAGGCATCATATTCATTGACAGTACATATACATATATGTACACACACACATACACATATACATACATATACACATATACATACACATATACATGTACATATATATATATATATATATATACATATATATATATATATATACATATGCACACATACATACATACATATACGTCGGTCAGATTCATGTGGGTAATGTCACTCTTCACTGCCATACGGGACAGAGGTTCGTACACAAAGAATGCATCATATTCATTGACACTATATATAGGTCAGATTCATGTGGGTAATGCCACTGTTCACTGCCATGCAGGACAGAGGTTCGTACACAAAGAAGGAAATACATCATATTCATTAGCAGTATATATAGGTCAGTGGATCACATACATTGGAATCATATTCTAATTGAAGACTAATCAGTGTGGGCTAGCAAATTTGGGATAAACAGCAAGAATGTCCTCAAGCACACCTGATTCAATGAAGTAATTACATAGTTCAAGATATAATAAGTCAGGTGGCCTGAAGTCTTTAGCAGTGTCACATTCAATAATATAGTGTTCAAGTGTATACTTTAAAGGTTTATCACAAAGTTTACATGCTGAGTGTTCCGGTACGGGTACAGCGTTACTAACTTGCCAGATGTGTCTGTATCCTAGCCTAATTCTGGCCACGACTACATCACATTGTCTGGTTCTGTCCTTATGCTGGCCATACCGGTACCTCTTGTCACAAAATTTGTCATATTTACTAATGCTACAACTGTCAGGTCTCTCTGCATTTCTCACTTCTTCTAGATCAGAGTTCATGATTCTGACTTGAATGTTTATAATTACAGCATTGGACAGGCCAAGGTCACGGTCAACATTTTCTTTCTTACATGCCTCATTGGCCAGTCTATCAGCACGGTCATGATACCTGATTCCAACATGGGACGGAATCCACACAAATTTGATACGAAAGTTGTTCTCATTGGCAGTTATCACATTCCTTTTAATATCATATACAACTTTAGACATAGTGCCTGACGGGCTGTTCATTGATTTCAAAGCACTTTGAGAGTCACAGAATATCACCCCACCTCCATTTTCTT